GGGGAGGAGGGAGGGGGAGGGGAGGGGCAGGAGTGCTGAGGGGCTGCGGCGTCTCCTGGAGGGCTCTGGGGTGGGGTGGGGGTGAGCACTGGATGGAGGTGGGTGGAACTTCCAGGGCCTTCACAACTCTGAGGCACTGGTACTCAGGACTTTTTGAATTTAGTATCACTCTAAGGGACTATTCTTCATTCTGATAAGCCAAAGTGCTTATCCTGGAATGTAGGGCCATCGGATTTTTTTTTTTTTAATGACTGGACAATTCAAACATCAGAAGGAGAGAGAAAGCCATTCTGCTAGGGTCCTACTGATTAGCAGGAGCCCGTTACGTCGTATTCTCTGCACTGCGGCGGGGAGGGTGCCCTTCCCACCATTCACTAGCGAGGCTCCCTGTGCTCCTACATGGTGTACACAGTGCGGGAGGGCCTCCCGATGCACCAGGGAGGATGCGGTGGAGGATGGGCATCCCCCAATGGCTGTGGGGCACCTGTCTTTCCTCGAAAACACAACAGCTGCCCTGGATCTCCAAATCTTTATTGACTTTCTAATGGTTTGATTTCTAGATCCTTGTTTTTAATACATTTCATTTTTATTTTCGCCCTCCCAGTCTGTCTTCACCCAACCTGAAAAACATTCCTTACAATCCCTTGATAAGAGCACCCTAATAGCACATATCTGATTTACAGCTATAGACAACTGTCTATTCCACTGAAGGCCACACTGGCTTTATAAGGCTGAACAAGTTGTTCTAGTTTCTCAATATGTAATTACATTGTTTATATCCTGGAAACAATGGAACTCAAACAAAAAAACAAATCCCCAAGATATGGTTGGTCTTATTTTTAATAGAAAACAGTATTCTTTCATAATTCATAATATTCAAGCTCTAATGGGCTAATGAATTATTTGGAAGCAATGAGAGCTCTTCATGGAATACGCCTGCTTTCCGAGAGTCCGTGTTTATTTGACTTCATTTGCCAAAGTAAGTATTGTTCTACCAATAGTGGCTACCATAAGGAGGACCAGCAGAGGCGTTTACGTTCCCATTAGACAACCCGCAGGTGATGATAAACAACACACCAAGGTCTCTGGCAGGAGTCCAGTAAGTGCGGTCAACATAAAAACACCATCTGCTCCCCGGTTTCAAACCATAAATAATTGTTCCATAGCAACGAAGGTCTTTAGGACTAAGTCTTTTGACTAAGCTTTTGGAGAGGGAGGCCAACAGGATTCCTAAAGCTCCCAACGGGCAGAGGAAGCCCCACAGGAGGCCAGCGGTGGCCTGGAGTGGGCAAGGCTCCCCAGTTGCCCCCCAGGGCCCGTCCTCACCTGCAGCCACCTCTCCTTCCAACCCTGTGACCAAGCGGCACCACTCATGGAGCTGGAAACCTACTTCCTTTGCTTGCCTACGCTCTCCTCTGCATAGGAGTTGTAATGAGCAGTGAAGTAATCAAAAAGGCTTTGTGGAGAAGCCAAGCAGGCGAGAGTGTAGACCCTGCCCCACTGGGAGTTTTCTTGACCCGGACACATCCTCCTCTCATCTACTGTGCACATCTGACACACATGCAGCCTTCAAATCAAGTTAGACATTTAATTTTAGCCTGTAGAAAATGTATTTAAATACTTTAAAAGGCATGATTTGGAAGTTACCTCTAAGTAACCTGAAACCCAGTATGTTATACAGGTTACTCACAAGCAGCAAACATCAAACCACCCCTGTCTCTGAAAGCACTGACAGGGAACACCTCTAAACTACTAACTTTTTTGGGGGTAAAATATCTGGACTTGAAGTAATTTGAAGCTATGCTAGCAGAATGATTTAAAGATAGTTCTCTGTATTACAATTCCTTACCTATGAACTTTGATAGGAGAATACAGAATTTCAGGATTAGATTCTAATTAGTTAACATATATTTATATCTGTTATGTATATGAAAACGCTTCAAGTCTGTATAATTGCCAGACAACAGTTATGCCCTTTGAGATGTGAGTGAGTGATGGCGTCTCCTTGTAAGGACCGCCCATTACTGATGGGCACACATTCAATTTCCCCGAACTCCAAACTTGAAGGTGGCCCTCAATGAGGTTAACTTAAGTATCTAACAATAGTAATTAAACATTTAGACTGAGTCACAGGTCTCCTGAACTGAGTTTCTATATAATAACAGCAGCTAAACATGACAGCACTATTCCCAGTGCTCTGTATTAACTCATTTAACCCTCGCACACCCTGAAAGGTTGGTACTGCTGGTGTCCCTAACTCACAGATGAAGAAGCTGTAGCACAGAGAGGTTACACAGCTCAGCCCAGATCACACAGTCAGTAAATGGCAGGGCCAGGGTTCAAGTCCAGGTCGCCCAGCTTCCCAGCTGGTGCCCACCTCCTGATATCCCAAGTTTACTTGGTGCCTGTGAAGCAGGCCTCCCTGTGCTGATCAGGTTCTGGGAGGAACCGCACAGAATGAGTCAATTCAAGTTAAACTTGTTTTCGGCCTCTGCAGGCGGCTTGAACCTGAACCACGGCCTCTCCATGGCCAGCTTCACGCTGGAGTTAGGCAACTTGTCCCCGTCGGATGGGGAGCGCTGGAGGACGCTTTATCCTGGGACACCCCTCTGAAAGCAACAGTGTTTACAATCATAAAAATGCACACACAAAGAGCATTTATTTAATATTCTATCCTGCCAACTGGAGACTCCAGAAGCTGGTATTCTGAAAACAAAAGAAGTTGCTGAAGGTGCAGCTGTGAAATATTCCAACTGTTGGAATAAGACTGAACAACTTAACATATACCTTTGGGACTCTGCATATTTCTCCAATTTCACATTTTAGATAAATACAACTTTCCCACCTCTAATTTTAACTCCGGGTCACAGATTTTATTATCAAACATTTCAATATTAGCAAACATCATCCACTAAAGAGGGTTACCCCAATTTTTTTCCAAAGGACATCCTTGACTCCAGCCAAAGCTTTTGAAAACAATGAAGTAAACTGATTTGTATTTGTTCCTAATGCAAATAAACTCATGAGTCCATAGTGATTACTGCTTTTCAAAGAGACACTTTAAAGATGATTTTTAACAGGTTACCTTGAGCTGGAAGTAAAATACGAGTCATCAGTGTCATCACTATACTTTTTTCTTGGTTTCGCTGTGATTGGCGTTTCCTGTTCAATGGTCTGCAAATCTGAAGTCACTGAATGTGAAATACCACTTGAGAAAATAGAGAATAAAATGGAAAAGAATAATATTAGTTCACGAGGACACTTGTGTGTTCACCAAAGAACGGATCTTTTTTTTTTTTTGGCCTCGCTGCGCAGCTTGCAGGATCTTAGTTCCCTGACCAGGGATCGAACCGCGGGCCCCCAGCAGCGGAAGTGTGGCGTCCTAACCTCTGGACCGCCAGGGAATTCCCATGAATGTTTTAATTTATACTCTCAACAAAAATATACTTATTAGTGGGGTTAAAAACATGAGCAATAAAAAAATATTTTTTTGGTGTAAGCACTGAAAAGTACTGGACCTTAGTGAGGCCTGTAACTAATTATACAAAATACAGTCACATATATCAGTTATGTTTACGGCATCCACTTAATGACAAGTCAGACCTATTTCCTTTTACCTAAGAATTAAATTTGGAATTTTTCATGCTATAGTGAACACCGCTGTCCCTTGGCTTCTGAGGGGGATTGCTTCCAGGACCCCAGCAGATAAAAAAAATCCACAGTATTCCTTTGTACTTTAAATCATCTCTAGATTACTAATAACACCTAATACAATGTAAATGCTACGTAAATAATTACAAATATAATGTCAATACTATGTAAATAGTTGCCCTTAAGAGTGGTATATGCAGCAAATTCAAGTTTTGCTTTTTAGAACTTTCTGGAATCCCCCCCCCAGACATTTTCAATCCCCAGTTGGTTGAATCTGCAAATGCAGAACCTGTGGGTACAGAGGGCTGCAGGTGGACTGTATTAGAGCAAAGCAAAACAACTGAAGAAAGTGAGTAATGAGAAAACATTTCTGAAGTTGAAATTAACAAGGAAAATCCATTCATGATTAGCAAACTAGTTTAAATTCTGAAATCCAAGAAAGCAGAGTCTTACATACCTTCTGCAATTTCCAAACCCCATGCCAAGTCTCTCTGATTCCACCTTCTTTTTGCCACTCATGTTCATCTTTTCATCTTTCTTCATTTGAATATTAAGATCCTTATAGGCTAATCGTAATGATGACACACTGCCAGAAAAACCAAATGCTCCTTAATTTAGCTTTAATTCTGTGTTCTTAAGTTAAAATACAAAGAACATTTAACATATCACTCTACTTTTAGCTTCGTGCTTCTTTCCATAAATTAACGATTATGAAGGCAAGTTGGCCTTTTCTTTGGGTAAAGGTCTTTTTTGAGTAGATGCTCAAGAAAATCTGAAGGAGTTTACAGATACTCTTTGGTTGCTGCTGAACTTACATTACTGTTCTTGTTTTTATCACTTATTATCGTGTCATAACACGATGTATACTGAAATTATTTCTCTAAAGGACAGTAAAAAGCAGAGTTTCTTACTTGGACTAATATTTTACTATACTTCAACATTACATATCAAAAGTATGAGGTTAGTCTCATTGGTTTGCTCTGGTTTAAGATAAAAAATATATACAAATGTGACTTAACAAATAGATAAATTAAGAAGGGATTACTTCACTGCAAAAGGGTTCTTCAGTTTACAAGAAAATTTCCTGTAGGGTCTCTTTATGTAATCAGGCTCTGAGAGCATTTAAAATGGAGTTATCTCCAGTAATACCACTTCTGGGCATATATTTGGAGAAAACCGTAATTTGAAAAGATACATGCACCCCAACGTTCATTGCAGCACTATTTACAATAGCCAGGACATGGAAGCAAACTAAATGTCCATCAACAGAGGAATAGATAGAGAAGATGTATATATATACAATGGAATATTATTCAGCCATAAAAAAGAATGAAATAATGCCATTTGCAGCAACATGGATGGACCTAGAGATTGTCATACTGCGTGAAGTAAGTCAGACAGAGAAAGACAAATATATGATATAGCTTATATGTGGAATCTAAAAAAAGGGTACAAATGAACTTATCTACAAAACAGAAATAGAGTAACAAATGTAGAAAACAAACTTACGGTTACCAGGGGTAAGGAGCAGGGAGGGATAAATTGGGAGACTGGGACTGACGTATACACACCACTATATATAAAATAGATAACGAATAAGAACCTACTGTACAGCACAGGGAACTCTACTCAATACTCTGTAATGGCCTATATGGGAAAAGAATCTAAAAGACAGTGGATAGATGTATATGTATAACAGATTCACTTTGCTGTACACCTGAAACTAACACAGCATTGTAAACCAACTATACTCCGATAAAAACTAAAAAGGGCTACACTCTAGGGCCCACGTGCCGCAACTACTGAGTCCACATGCTGCAACTACTGAAGCCCATGTGCCTAGAGCCTGTGCTCTGCAACAAGAGAAGAAGAGAAGCCATTGCAGTGAGAAGTCCACACACCGTAATGAAGAGTAGCCCCCACTAGCTGCAACTAGAGAAAGCCTGTGCGCAGCAACGAAAAAAAAAAAAAAAAAAAAAACTAAAAAAAAAAAGAAAAAAAAAATTGGAGTTGTCATTCCTCAGCCAATAGTTTCCTCTGCACCACCAGTCAGATACTCATCACCTACCTCTCAAATATTTGTGACAAACAATGCACCCAGGTGAGAAATGACGAATAAAACACTGTCCCTTGCTCTCAGATTTCCAAAAATGCTATAAATACTTAATTTTTCATAAAGGAAACCAGGCCTATATTAACAATTACAAGAGTAAATTATCATATTAGTAAAATAGCAACAAAATTTCAGGGCCTTGAAAAATGGTATACCTACCTTATCAGGATTTCTAAGCTATCATCCATTTTATAAAATTGTGTAAAACGTCACGAATTCCTCATAAGAAAGGCACTGTATAAATTCCATAATAATATAAATACATTTCTCTGTAGTAATAGGGAATGACAGCAGAATTTCTTACTAGGAAAAAATAATCTTGCTTTTGCTGTTTCCCTCCTAAATGAGTCAAGCAGGATTTCTGTTTTGTTTTAATCTGGCAGTTTGTTTTCTTTACTATTATTCCTACAGATCAGGTAATGGCAATATACCCACTTTATTACTTGGAAAATATAATATACTCTTTCAAGTATAATTTTTGGAGGAAAACAATAGATCTGTTTAAAATCAGTAGAACTGTGGTAACAGAGTCTTCTGGAGATGAATGGATAGGGATGGTATGAGATGGGGAAGTTTTCCTTCTTGGGGTTCTTGACGTACGATTGGGTCTATCCTCCATTAAAAGAGTGCACTTTTAACAGCCGGGCCCTGGAAGCACTAATGGAATAAGGAAGCCAGGACTCCAAGCTTCTCAGACCCACAGAAGCCCTTCCAGTACCAGCTTGGCTCAGGGGAGGGCTGGCCAGACACTCAGGTCAGCAAAAGAGCAGCTCCAGCGTCACCACTGTATCTTCTTACTCTTTCTACCAACTGTGCACACAGACGCCTCTGAGGATGGGCCCAGAGACTGCCAGGTGAGGCTCAGGCTACTGCACGGATAGTTTAGTTTCGCAGTCCGACAACACAAGAAACGATACTGCTCCTGAGAGCTGACTGAACTGAAATAACTTTATTTACAGCCGTTAAAAAAAATGAACTTGCAGGGCTTCCCTGGTGGCACAGTGGTTGAGAGTCTGCCTGCCGATGCAGGGGACACGGGTTCGTGCCCAGGTCCGGGAAGATCCCACATGCTGCGGAGCAGCTGGGCCCGTGAGCCATGGCCGCTGAGCCTGCGCGTCCGGAGCCTGTGCTCCACAACGGGAGAGGCCACAGCAGTGAGAGGCCCGCGGACAGCAAAAAAAAAAAAAAAAAAAAAAAAGAGAACTTGGAGAAGACTAACATAAAGCTTGGGCACTTCCTCACAGCTGGCACAGTGCTAGTTTGGTGAAACTGAGCTGTGATGTGTCTGAGCGGCAGGACGGTGATTAGGGCGTGGTGGTGCAGCTGTTCTGAACAAGGCCATGAGAGGGGTCAAACTAGGTTCCCAAGTCCAGTTCATAAATACGCCATGATCTGCATCTTTGCTTTTGTGCTGTACTGAATGGTCCTAATGAAAGAGACACGTTAAGGCTGGTTGTTGTTTTTAGTAGTAACAAGCTAGTTTCCGTCCACCTGACCCACAGGGAGGGAGCTGCTGCTTCCTGTATTCCATGTCTCCTGTTCTGATCAGGCGGGGATTTCACACTTCCTCTGGGAAAACCTCACGCACAAGCAATCTGGACAGAGCCTGCTTCCAAACATACCCATACTTTTTAAAAACTATTTTCTGAAATTTATTTTATTTATTTATTTTTGGCTGCGTTGGGTCTTCGTTGCTGCGTGTGGGCTTTCTCTAGTTGTGGTGAGCGGGGGCTACTCTTCGTTGCAGTGCGTGGGCTTCTTATTGCGGTGGCTTCTCTCGTTGCAGAGCACGGGCTCTAGGCGCACGGGCTTCAGTAGTTGTGTCTCGCGGGCTCTAGAGCGCAGGCCCAGTAGTTGTGGCGCACGGGCTTAGTTGCTCCGCAGCATGTGGGATCTTCCCGGACCAGGGCTCGAACCCGTGTCCCCTGCATTGGCAGGTGGACTCCTAACCACTTCGCCACCAGAGAAGTCCCAAACATACTGATTTAACCTTCCCCCTTGCCCAGTGTCAAAAAGCCTAGCTAAGTCAGAGACATCAAAGTGAAGTCTGTGACAACTCAGAGTAAACCTCACATAGAGCATTTCAAGTCACATTTTACCCAAATACAGTTTAGTGCTGCCCCCTAGGTTCTGTGAGTTAAAGGACAGTGAGGAATAACTAGCAATTTCAAATTATCTGGCTTATCGTATGAAGGTCCTCTTAGCACACTGTGAGCATCAATAGCAAGAAATCACAGTGGTTGAGCACCTACTATGCGCCAGGCACTGTTTGATGCACTTTAATGAGAATTAACTAAAGGAATCCGTAAAACAACCTCATAAAGTATTTTCTTCATTAGGCAGCCCGTAGTAATTAACTCAAGCTAAAACAGATACACCTGAAAATAAGAGAAAACACCATATAAATAAAATAAACACGCATACAAAACAGGACTCCAAGTCGCCTTTCCTCTCTTCTCTCCTTACCATCCTCTATGCCCAGTCATGGGCACTTTCCAGATGGCCATGTGTCCCTTCTGTTTTCAACACAAACGAAAACCTCTCAGGAACCTTAAGTGTCTACCTAAAACAAGTCTCCAGTCTGGCCTCCTGGCCTCCAGTTTTATCCCGTTCCTTCTGTCCTGGATAACGCCACCAAACGCACTTTCCAAAACACACCCCTTCTTCACAGCACTCCCCTCAGATGTGGTGTAAAACTGCCCGCCTGACTTCAGGGCGATCCCCAGCATCATTCCAATGTCCCCAATCCAGGAAGGACCCCAGTGCCACCGTCTGGATTCTCTCTTCTTCATTCCCTTAGGCTCTTCCTTCTCCCCCAACCCCGTGCCAAGTCTGACTCTGAGACTCCTTCAAGATCCAGCCTCAAAAGCTCTGCAGATGCCACCATACCCACAACCTTCCATCATACAATTAGAACTTAGTCACCAAGTTCAACGGGGCTTCACATTATAAACACTTTTTTTCATTACTGAGATATAATTCACATACCATAAAATCCACCTTTCTAAAGTACACAATTCAGTTTAGCATATTCACAAGGCTGCCACCGTCAGCACTATCTAATTCCAGAACATTTTCATCATCCCCAAAAGAAACCCCTGCCCATTAGAGGTGACACCACGTTCTCTCCCCTGCCCCCAGCCCCTGGCAACCACTAGTCTGCCTTCTGTCTCTGGATTTGCCTAATTTGGACATTCCATTTCTAAGGAATCATACAATATGCGGTCTTCTGTGGCCAGTTTCTTTGTCAGCGTAAAATTTTTAAGATTTATCCATGCTGCAGCACGTGTCAGTACTTTATTCCTTTTTATGGCCGAATAATATTTTATTGTATGGACATACACATTTTGTTTATCCATTCACTACTTGATGGACATTTGGGTTATTTCTACTTTTTGGCTATAGGGATTAATGCTGCTATGAACACATGTACAAGTTCTGGTGTGGCTACACGGGCATATTTTAATTTCTCTGAGAATATACTGAGAAGTGGAATTGCTGGGTCATGTGGTAACTGCCACCAGCAAAGCACGAGGGCTCCAGTTTCTCTGCATTCTTGCCAACACTTGCTGTCTGTCTTCTTGATTACAGCTACCTTGAGTGAAGAGGCATCTCCCTGTGGCCCTGACTTGCATTTCCCTGATGACTGACGATGTTGAGCGTCCTTCCTGCGTAAGTACCTCCTGAGCGCTTCTGTCTTTCCCTTCCCGTGACCCCATCCCAATCCTGTCTGCACAGCTTCAACTGGAAATGGCGACTGCCTCCTTCTCCCCTGGTCTCTCCCCTTCTAATCTACACGTCCATGCAGTTTTCGTTATCATAAAACTGAATTTTGCATTATCCTCCTCACACACATATGTAAGAATAAATGGCATTTGGAAAGCAAATCTCAGAAACATATTCCTATGACCCAATCAAACTTACATCGATTCTTCCTTAGGTGCCGCCCTGGCCAGAAGGTCTTCCTGTTCCTTCATTTTATCTACGGCTTGGGCTTGTTTTTCAATTTCATTAAAGCACGTATTCGTCAGTTTCTGGGCTCCCAAACTTCCTTTTTTGGCCCCAAGCTAGAAGATACAGTATAAGATTACATTCTACCCAAACTGTTTGAAAACGTTTGCAACAAAAGCTAACATTTATCGAGGGTTATTACTTAGTCCTCACGACTCTATGAGGCCGGCACTGTCTCCATCCCTGGGTGATGGATGAGGACCTGAAGCTCCTGCCAGTTAAGTGACTCAACTAAGATCCCACAACTGGCAAGTGATGAGGTCGGGACTCAAACCCCGCACCTGCCTCCAGAGCAGGGGCTCTGAAAGGAATCATGGCATCTCAACATTCAACCAATGACAACCCTCCCAGCCTCACCAGACAGCACTGCTTTTAGAACCGTAACCATGACAGAAACTCCCAGGAAGCCTCTGTTGATTTTTTTCAGAATTTTGTCATTGACAGAAATGTTAAACACTCATTCTAGAAAATCTTCACTAAGTATAACATCCCCTCATTGAACAAAACAAGCTTTTTATCAAAGCCACATTCATTATAATCTGGCTCAAAATAAAAGTAAAATGACAAAGGTGGCTTTTCTGAGTGCATAAGCCATTTTAGAGCTAAACTACCAGATACTTTATACATAATACTCACTCCTCTTTTAGCTTGATTTGGTTTCTTTTTTATCAAGAAAAAAAAAAAAAAAAAATAGAGTCCTCAGTATTTCCACGTAGTATCCAAACTCAGAGAGTATATATGTTTTTGGGACACCACACTGAAGAGAAATAAAGAGACTAAGTTTGCCCCATTCACTATTTTCTTCAGGAGCATTTCATATTACATTGAAACAAACCCTCCTATTAACCTCTACTCTTCAAAATTTTCAAAATTGTTTTAAAGTAGAAAGTTAGCCAGGCATTATGTATACAACTAAAGCAGTGAAGCGCTTTCCACTCTGATCTATGTTATCACATTGACCAATAAGAAATATAAAACACTCTATTATTTTGGGAGCATTACATTCTAAATTGCACAAAAATACATGATGCTTTCAGATGAAGTTTCTTAAAAATTGTTTTCTGGGTACATTTTAATCATAGATTACATATTCTGTGTTTAGAATTATGTAAAAGAGACCCAGTAAGAATAAAAATTATTTTCTTACAAAGTGAGAATGTGCTTTAACAGGAAAAAGATAGCATAAAACAAGGGAATAAACTCATTACATTTCAAGTGTAAAAAAGCCATCCATGGAAATTCTCCTTTTCATCACTTTCTTTTAGATTTGTACTGCGGTAGTCACATAATCTGCTCCCAATCTCCTACAAGTCTATTATAAATACATGACGAAAATATCTGGAACATTTCTAATAGTTTAGTTATTTTTCACCGAAGCAGTTGCTTTCCAATTAATACAGTGTAATATGCACTAATTTCAGATTGTACTTCCCTGATAATGAAAAATTAGAAATTAAGTTCACCTACAATAAAATCAGAAAGACAAGAAAATGCTAAGAGTTCTTGAGTAGCTAGGAATGACTTGGCTGCTCTGACCTCTGCTTAAGCTGGGACATAAACCAGCAAATCAAAAGCATCAAGAGCAACCTTCGCCAGGTACAGAGGCTGCTGCATTTCACAGTCATCAAGCTGGCCGAAACAGAACAGCATTTTTTGCTTAAATAAATCTCATTACATTTTAAGTTCTGGGCAGAATGTAAAGACAGGATTCATTTTTTTCTTAGTTAATCTCACTCTCTAAATCCCAATATAGGGTAACACATACCACCTAAAGCAGCCTTTGTTGGTACATTAAGACCTTCCACACTTGGTCCTTGTTCTGGTCCACCTGAAAGTTGAAAATATTGATGTTAATGCAGAATACAGACTCATCAAATGTGCTTTTGAATATATAATACACTCAACTTGCTCAGTACTACGAATCTTATCCAGTTCTGTCAATGATTGTCTTTTCTTCTTAGCTCCATATTCTATTTTATCATTTTAAGAATTTTAATTTAAAAGTCCATTAAAACAGAAGTATATTTTGTATCCAGTTGGTTTGTAGAATAAAAATGTTATTGGTCTCCCTAATTAACATCATTTGGAATTCTACCTTATGGTCCGGTGTTTTATTTTACTTTTATTTATTTATTTATTTATTTGGTTGTGATGGGTCTTAGTTGCGGCATGTGGGCTCCTTAGGTGTGGCATGAGAACTCTTAGTTGCGGCATGTGTGTGGGATCTAGGTCCCCGACCAGGGATGGAACCTGGGCCCTCTGCATTGGGAGCACGGAGTCTTAGCCACTGCGTCACCAGGGAAGTCCCATGGTCTGGTGTTTTAAAGTAAACTGTTCTGAGGGACTTCCTTGGTGGTCCAGTAGTTAAGAATCTGCCTCCAGTTTGCAGGGCAGAAATAGAGACACAGATGTAGACAACAAGGGGGGAAAGTGGGGGGCCAGGGGACAACAAGGGGGGAAAGTGGGGG